AAAACACAGGATAAATCTCAGTGGATAAGCAAAAGCCGCGACATAGTGTGCTGTGGTCAGGTGACGGGTACAGCCCTTTAGGCACCCGTTAAAACCACCAAGAACACTTTAAACAAAAACCCTAAACGAATGGAGCTCCGCCTCCTGCGCCCCCTCATGCGATTGCCTGAGATTGATGCGGCCAGCACGGGCCTCACTCAGCTCACCGGGTTGCCACTGGAGGAGACTTGGCGAGATCTTCTTCGTATTCTTCTTATCGCTGTCACTTGTAGCGTTCTGTGTTTCATTCTTATTATGATTGCAAGTCGCGTTTTCATGATCTCCCGTATCAGCATGTTTCTGTCGTTCTGAGGCATCATCTTTATCATTGTGTTTGTGCTGCTTTCGTTTTGTGTCATTTTCGTTGCCGCGTTCTGAAGTATTAATCGCACTCTGCTTTCCTGTCGTTTTGAAGTTGCATACAGCTTGGAATCCCCAGTGCTTCATCCCTTTCCTAGCCCCTGATGCCGAAAGTAGAGCCGGAGCTTTCAGAGTCTGTCACCCGAAGACCCAGGCCCCAAGCCCTGAATGCTAAACCTGATAGCCGAAACCACAACCCCCAGACTCTGAACCCTGATGCCCCAACATGCAAAACCCAGAGATCCTAAAACCCTTTCGAGGAGACTGGGTTCAAGATCCTCGGCAAAAGGACATTAAACCTTCATCATATGTTTCATAGCCTTCAAGCAGGCCAAACTCCCAAATCCCAGTAGATTACAGGACCCTTGAGAAGCACCTCCAGAACCCTGAAGCTGAAGAGCCGGCAGAGTGTGATGGTTCTGGAATCCTCACCCTAACCCTCCAGGTGCCTACTNNGGGCCCTAGGGGCTCTAGTACCCTAAATAGTAGGTACCTGGGAGGTTAGAGTAAGTTCGAGAAGATTTTGTAAACTTTCCGTGGGAGGACTCCAGTGGATTGCTTGGACTCTTGGCAGGCGGCCTGCGCTCGGTTCTGTAATGCCCCGGTTTCGTGAGGGCAGGGTGTAATACGGGATATGCAATATGATATGCATTTCTTTATACATATATATATATATATATCTATATAGATGGATAGGTTATATGTATATAGATAGATAGATAGATAGATAGACAGATAGGGTTTTACAGATCTTTACAAGGGTTACATTCATGGTTTACCTTTTATATAGGGCGTGTAATCCCTATATGATTGTTCATCGTGCAGTATGTACACCCAAAACTTGGCTCCAACTCTGCACTCCGGTTTCAGGAGTTCCCTGAGCCCAAAACCTGAAGCCGAAGTCCCAACCTTTGTTTTTTGAAGACTAAGAACCCAGAACCTAAGTTCCTGAACTCTAAACCCCAAAGCTGCGAAGGCACCAAAACCCTAAGCCCTGAATCCCGGACCCGCGCGTCGCCCGGCGTTCGCTTTTGGCTCATCTCTGGCCTCGCAGAGCTCCGAAGGAGGCGGCCCGGGACCGAGAAGCGGGGCACTCACGCGGCAAGTTTTTATTGCTAGGGTGGAGGGTCGAGGGCTGAGAGTGTCGAGTTCTAGTGCATACAGTAAGGTTTCTGGTTCCTATGACTCTTACTTTTCTTCTTATCATCGAAACTGCTTCTCTTGGTGTTATGCTCTGTGTTGTTGTTGTTGTTGTTGTTGTTGTTGTTGTTGTTGTTGTTGTTGTTGTTGTTGTTTGTTCGCCTTCCATCGCAATGTCTTTCGTTTGCATCATGGTTCCTAGTCCTATCCTCATCGCTGTTGCGTCTGTTGGCATTACCGGTGTCGTGAATACGATGCGTGACACCGAGCGAGCTATTCTGATGCATTTGCTCCGTATAAACGTGTCTACAATGCTGTCTTGTTGTTTATTCTTGTCGGTCTTCCCGTTTTTGGGTTTTTCGGATTGTTTATCTTATTCACCTGTTGGCCCTTGAAAGCTTCAGCCCTTACCTGTCCGGGTCATGGTCAAGGCTGAGGGTTTGCGGCCTTCGTTTCGGGTGCTTCTTCAACCTTCAGGCTTGCGTGGAGTGTTGTTGTCTGTCGGAGCTACTGTTTGCGTTCGCCTGTGGCTGGAGCCTTCGATTTGCCAGTGTAGAGCCGGATGTGGTTCACAGGCCTCTTCCTCTTCCACTGCTCCTGCTACTGCTCTGCTGTTTGAAAGTCTCGTGGCTCTTGCTGCGGCTGCTGCTGCTGCTGCTGCTGCTGCTGCTGCTGCTTCTGCTGCTGCTGCTCGCGGCCACAACTACCGCCAGCACCACTACCGCTACCGGCACAAGTTCTTCTGGGGAACAGCGACACCTACTTCCCGAAGCCATCAACCCCAAGATCTAAAGGCCATGGCCGAGATGGAGGAGAAGGATGACGAGGCGGAGGAGAAGGCCAAGGACTCCCAGCCAGGGTTGCTCCCTTCGCTTTTCAGGGCTTTGGTGCCAAGGGATTGAGGGCTTTTTGAGGTTTCTGCCCAGCTAACACCAAACCATACCAAACCCCTACATCCCTGAAGCCCCTAGTTAATCTGTGACAGTGTTAAATGCTTCTAGCCGGGCTCTCGCTTTGAAAGGACGAGAAGCCGAAGGATGAAGAGGTTCAGGAGGAGGAAGAGCCGGATGTCAGTGCCTTCAGGCCAGCGCGCTGCACCCAAGGCTTACTCAGTCCTCTCATGATTCTGATTACCCGTACTTTTTTCCTGCTCCACATGCTTGTAAAACCATCATGCCATCATGAACATCCCCATATTGCTCACGCCCAGATGCATCATCCCAGGGTGCCTTCTTCTCCTTGTTGCAATGACTATCCCGGCTTCTTGGCTCAGGCCCGGGGACAGCGCCGGGGCCTCAAGCTCGGACCACGGGGAGCAGATGGAGTTGCTCGCTCAGGAGAGCCCGGCGCAGAACAGAGATAGCAGCGTTCGTGACGACGATGATGGTGATGATGGTGTTGATGATCATGATCATGATCATGGTGATGCTTGTCATTCACTTTGTTCTGGTCGGGCTGTGGTCTACGATTGGATTGTTATGCTGCTCTCCGAACATAGCGCCATGGCATTTTACCAATGACTTTATTGTTTCCTGTATTTCGATTCATTGTTGCCAGCACCATGATGGAGGTCATCACCATTCGCCGGCGCATGCAGAAGGCACGCAAGGTGGGGACGCTCGGCTTCGTGCATTCGAGTCCTGCCCCCGTGATAAAATTGAGAACGCTACTAGCAGCAAAAGCAAGGGGGACAATGGGTTATGGCATCCTTAGCTATGACATTATCGTGATAATACTACCAACCATCGCACGCATGTTCGAGCCAGTCACGTTGCTGCCGGTGGCTACAGCAGTTCATCAACGTCAAACAACATAATCGTGGTAGCGTCAGTGTGTTCAATTTTGGAAAGACCTGTGGACCTCAAATCCGCAAAGCCCTAACTTCCCAAGCCATAAGACCCGAATTCAGCTCCTGGGGCCATTTCCATTATGCCGAACTGAAACCTGAGGCCTCAGCTTGTTACCGATGTCGGCAGCCGTGAACCTGGCTCAGTCGAGCTTCGTGAGTTATAGCCAAATCCAATTTGTATCTCCGCGATCCCATATCCATGGGTTCCAAAGTTGCCGGCCGCGCAGTGCTGCTCCTCTTGTGCCTGGTCGTCGGCGACGCGGTTCGCCAAACAAGACTGCAGAAAGGTGACGTCGTCAGCGCTGCCCAGGAGTATGAGAAGCAAGAGCACGAGCAAGTGAGGTACGAGCATGTCGAGGAAGGGCATGCCGAGGAGGTTGCCGACTCTAAGGTGGAATGGGGCACGCCGGGATGCGGCTCAACTTATGAGTGTGCTCGAGACTGCTCGTGCATTGGCGGGACGTGTCACTGTCCCCCTTACTAGATACTAGACGCAGCAGTTCGTTGCTCTGAGGCAGCTGTAGTCACAATCGCAGCCCACTTGCAAAAAAGACAAAAGTGGCACCGATTCGCTGGCACCTTGATGTTCTGCGTAGTTGCAAGAACCCCAAGCCCCTGTGTCTGTGCAGGAGCAGATGGAGCAGGCGCTCTCATTGGAGATCTCTGCTTTCAGTGGTTTAGGGTTTGAGGTCCATGTCTTGGGCATCCTTGTGTGGAGGGTCGATATTTTTGCGTCCCATATTGCTGTCAGACTTGGGTCAGAACTCAGAACCCTGCAACAAGCCTCTGTTGCTGCACAGGGCCCCTAAGCCAGGAATATGTGGATCCGAAACTCGCGGAAGTATTCTATCGGCAGCAAAAAAAGATTTCTAGAGTCTAGAGTGTATCATAACAGTCGATAGCAATGGTAGAAAAATAGTAGACAGCAGCAGTTCATTGACGAAACGTCTTTGAGGTTTGATGTCGGGCTTGAGGCCCCAGGGATCCTTAAAAGGGTTCCTTTAAAGGCCCCGATGATCGTAGTCGCGAGCCCCCAAAGGCTGCCATGGAGCGGCGGAGTCGCACGCCCTCCCCCATGGGCAGACACAAGCGCCTTCCTTCCAAAAAGGAGCCTTTTCGAGGGGACTTCTCTCTGCAGTTGATAGGAGGGTCATAAGGAGCTTATGGAGGGTCTGACTACGAGGATTTTTGTATGGGGGGGGTTCTTCTTGTCAGCAGGTGTCCTCAGAACAAGGATCCCGCCACTTGCATGTCAGGCTTAGGGAACCTTCTGAATGTTGCTTGATGCTGCACTCTTTGTAGTAGTGTGACAATGTACTTCCACGATGGCTTTCACTTCACGCACCCTGTGTTTGTGCGGCAAGGTTGCGTTCCTTTGCGCCTCGGCTCGCAAAACGCGCGCGTGTGTGTGTGAGTAGGTCTGTGGGGTCTGTTTGTACATTCTACAGTGGATCATGTGAGACTCGTTTACAGAAGTCTCGGTTTTGGCCAACCGGCTGCTTCCGGTTTAGAGCCGCGCCAGGGTTCTTTTTGTATGGTGCCGGGAGTTTTTTTCGGCCCTAGGTGCTTCGCAGAATCGGGATGAAGCGGAAGCACGTTTTTTAATTCCTTCTTCCAAGGCCTCGACCGGGCGCCCGGACCTTGAGGCACCAAGGGGCCAGGGGTTCGGGGATTTGGGGCTTTGGGGTTTCAGGCTTTGGAGTTCAGGGTACCAGGCGCTTGGGGTCTCAGACCTGTGGTGGTTTGCAAAGGGCAGTCCAGGTCCCGTGTCTAATCTGTTGAGGATGGCGTTTAGGGTCGACCGCTTCATTGGATGGAAGGTTTGCGGCGCGGCAAGACAACCCGATCCGTGACCCAAAGCCCTGCAAGCCCAAAACCCACATGAGCAGTGCAATATCTCAAACCCGATCGCTAGGCTCCAGACCTAAGTGCCGAAGTGGGCAAGCCTTAGCACATCGAGAGATCCCGCCCGGCCAAAATCTACGAATCCTGAAAGCCCAAGGCTTCACAATATCACGAAAAGCTCACAAGGCCCTCAATACGTTGAAGCTCTTCCAGATTTGTTCAACAGTCCGGAGATGCAGGATGCTGCTATTGAGGCCTTCGAGGCTTGGCGATGGTTGGTGTGTGTGTGTGTGTGCAGTTGTTTTTTTGTGGTTAGGCCCTTGGCGGGTTCAGAAGCAAGACTGGGTTTGTGGTTTAGCACTAGGATTTGGGGGTGGTCTTTCTTTGGGAGTGTTGAAGCCGCGGGAGTGAGATGCTGGTTGTGCGCTCGCGCGGGGCAGGCAGCGGCTGCCCGCCGCGTCGAAGGCGGCTTCTCTTGTTGCTTGTCCAGTGGGGGTGCCTGCAAATGCAGTCCAATCCGGACCTGCACCAAGAAGAACAGCGACAACTCAGTTCACCCACGCTCCGGCAGTTCTCATCGCACGTTTCTGCCTGGCAGTTGCCGACAGCAAGCAGCGGCCACGAAAGGCAACCGCCTCGGAGAACTTGAGGCTTGGGATTGTTCTGACAATTATCAGCGTTGAAATCGGTATTGCTCCTTCCGTCTGGGTTTTATCATGCTTATTATGTTCCTTCGACCGGTATTGGTGGACGTATTTGTCTTGTCTTCGTCCGGTTTCTTCCACCGTCTTTCTGATGATGATGGTGGTGGGCGTGGTGGCTATGGTGATGGTGGTGGTGGCAATGATGATGATGATGATGATGATGATGAAGATGATGATGGTGGTGGTGCTGCTGCTGATGATGATTATGATGATGATGATGAGGAACATGGTGGTGCTGGTGCTGGTGATAAACAGGCTGCTGCAGCTGATGCGGCAGCTGATGCTGCTGCTGCTGCTGCTGCTGCTGCTGCTGACGATGCTGCTGACGATGGTGATTAGTGATGATAATAATGACGGTGATGATGATGATGATGATGATGATGATGATGGTGAGGGTGCGACTTGATGCCGCTGTTGCTCTTATTACCATTCTGCAAATACGCTGTTCGTCTTGCTATTTCTGCGGGATTGTCGCTGTCGGTGATTCTATATTCTATATATTCTTGCGCTGCAGAGCTTGCATTGGGTCCATGCATCATCAGCATTCTAGCCGTCGATCCCACTCGTGCTTCTCTACCGCGAGTCATGGGCGTCTTTGAGAACAGACTACTGCTCCCAATCCTGCCAGCTGGCCTCCAGTTGCGTCTCGTTATGGTGCAGCATGTGTGTGGTGTGGGCTCTTTTTCGCACCAACCATCTTCAGTTTTTTCACTTGATGGACAGACAGGTACGAGTGGCAAGGCTGGGTTTAAGGCTGAGGTCTGAGAGACTGAGGGGGGCCGCGCTTGAACGAAGCGTGCGGTCTATTGGCGGTTGAGGGGAAGAAAGAAGAAGACCCACGGGTGTTCAAAGCGGTGTGACATAAAGCGGTTGTAAGAGGCTCGGGTTGCTTGGTCAGAGCATCCTGATCTCTCCGATGGCTGAGATCGCAGCACGGTCGCTCGACGTTGCTACCGGTGCTTTGCTTCGAGGTCGAGCGGTTTCACCAGGATCTCATACGGAAGGAGGCTGGGGCCCGGGCTTTCTTGGTTCTTGCGTCTGAAGCCGAAATCCGTGAGCCGCAAGCATGGAGAAGCCCTGTGCAGTGTGACTGCCGTCTTTTGCATCAGGTGTGGCGTCAGAAATTCGACTACATCTTCAAGCAGATGCAGGCGTGTTAAGTACGGTACCGCCAACAACAATCATCACGATAAGGGCAACAGTCACAAGCATGATCACAGCAGCAGTCGTCATGACAATAGCTGTTGCATGGTGGAGGAGGTGATCTGGTGGTCATGGTCGTCGTCATCGTCGGTTGCAGTCGTGTCGGTGGTAGTAGCTGGCAGTGGCAGTGGCCGTGGTTTTGGTTTTTGTAGAGGTCGTGGTAATAATGGTGATAGCAGTAGTAGTGGTAGTAGTAG